TCTCAGCTTTTTACACTTACTTCATTATATCTCAGTGTTTCATCATCATTATGATGCACTACCGCTGCTTCTTGTCTCATTCCATTCGTTACTTCTTTCTCTTTATGTGCTTTAAGTAGTATGCTACTAGTTACTTTAATATTTAAAACATTTTTATATAAGCTTCAGTATTATATAATTTCTCGCTTCTTTCCATTCGTTATTTCTTTTTCTTTATATGCTTTTAGTCCTACTCCTTACTTTTCACTCAAGTTCATCTCGCTTCTTTCCATTCGTTACTTCTTTCTTAATCATCGTATGCTACTCGATACTTTACACTCAATTCCGCTCACTCCTTCCTCCTCTTGATGCTCTCAACAAATGCTTATCCTTAACTTTAGCACAATCTCAGAGTTAAAAGCCATTTGAACATATTCATATTTCGATGCTATGCTGATTTGCTGGCCTACTCTTTAGTTAATGCTGTCCACTCGCTCAGCCCGCTGCTCATTTGCTGCCCGAACCTCTGCTGCCCTGGCTGTGCCCTTCCGCTGGTCGTATTTGTGCTTGTGTGTTTATATAATAATATTTGCGGCTCATAATTGCATAAATTTTTAAATTGAACATTTTGCGCGCACCCTCGCCCTCACCCTGGCCCGCGCCCTCGCCCGTTTGACCGCAGAGCAGACGCCCAACTGAAGCTGGAAACCGAAACCGAAACGGAAACCAACCCGGTTCATTGTGTTGGCTGCTTTGGCATGGTTAGGTTTTGGTTTTAGCTTAAATACGTTTGAAATGAAATTAAACATGCCCGCGGTACCCAACAGCAAATTGAATTACGGCTCACTCGCGCCCCTCTACTCTCTCTTTGTCTCCTTCTCTCTCTTTCTCTTTGTGTACATAAGTCACGTGCTTGTTTCGAAACTCTCAAGAGGCCTGTGAATTTCAGTTTGAGATAATCATCCTCGTCCACAGATTGGTGCGCCTCGTGCTCACTCGAGGGTAACTCTTGGAGGCTCGCTCATGAGTGTTCCCAAATCTTTATCTAGTCACAGATTTTTCCAAAACATTTTCCCAACTCAACTCAGCTCAGCTTGCTCAACCGCAGCTACCACTTGACTTCTTCCTAATTGTTATGAGCATACATAAATCCATATATTGTACATATACAAATTTATATAGATTTTCCCCAATTTGAGTCTGTCACATAGATGCGACTGCGATTCGATGCGATGCGACGCTTGGCCTCGTTTGGAGGTGCATCCAATGCGAGTAAATCGAAAAGATTTCAACGCGTTCCACTAGAAATCGAGTGTGAAATTTGATAAGTGGCTGAGCTGTCTGAAGATTACCGCACAGCTGGCCACAGGAACTCCACTGCTCTGCGGCGGATATTTGGAAATTGGAAAAACAATTTGAATTATGAATTACGCGCGGCGTTTTATGTACGTTTTATGACTGACTATTAAGATTTGTTTTGCCCGCAGTGACATAAAAAGGATCGTAAGTTTCGAATTCAGTTGAAGTCTATGTACAGTATTTTGTTGTTTCAATTCAATTCTCAAGAGTCTGACAGGCTTAATGGTATTGTAGTTAGGTTTTCTTTTGTACTTTGATTGCTTTGCGCTGGGAAAGTATTTTTATTTAGATGTAAATCATAGAATATACAGACTTATACAATCAAAGGCGATATTAAAGCTAGAGACGTGAAGTTTTGAATATCTAAATTATTTAAAGCTCATTCCTATATATATAAGGAGCTTTTCATGTTTTAAATCTCAAATTTTTACTTAGAGCTCGAGCTTACTTATTCAATCTTTAGAGATTTCGATATAAAGGCAGCCGCAGCTAAACTTTAATTTCTTTCTACACACTTCACTTACATTACTTACCAATTTAACATTCTACCCCCTCCACGTTTAGCCCTAAACCTTATCAAACATCCAATTACTCTATCATATAACCAGTCAAAGGCAAAGTTAAGCACTGTTTGGCCTAATGCTTGGGGCTTTGTGCTCTTTCCATGGTCAGCTCCATTTATTATAACTATCACATGCAATGCTCATAAGCTCGGGTTCTGGCCCTCTTCTCTAACTGCGCCACCCCTCACCCCCTTACACCCCCTTAATAAATGTACTGCTTCATGCATTTGTCAGGGCTGGGAGGAGGGAGAGGAGGACTTCTTGTCTCACGCTCCGGCACAAAATCGCTTAAGGAGCTGCTGGTCAGTAACTTAGTATTTTATGTGTATGTATAAAGATTATATGGTCACACACACATACACACACACGCGCATGGCACTAAAGACACTAAGCACGACAAAAAGACATTAAACACGACAACGAAATAAAAAAAAAATATAAGAGAAACAAAACATTGAAATTCCTTATCAGCATTTCCGCTTTTCGTGACCAATGTCTCGACTCTGCGCACGTGCCTCAGTGTGTGTGCGTGCGTGTGTGTGTGCGATTGTGTGTGGAAAGGAGTATCAATTTCGCACACACTCTCCCACACACACACACACACACACCTACACACACTCTCTTAGTCCGTGTGGTCATGCAAAGGTTATAGAAATTAAAAAGCCAAGTGGCTTAGGCCAACTTTGTGTGCGCGCACCTGTCATTGGCTTTTCGGTGGTTTCAGTGGTTGACGCCACAAAAAGACACGCCACAAAAGTCAAGTCGATGGGTGGGGCAGTCCGCCTATCTTGGCTATCCTACATTATTCATAAATATGCAAATTGGCTCTGCACTCTCGTTGTGTGTAATAAATTCTGAAGGCTGAAAAAGCTTTTCAGCATTCGGTTTGCCTGTGAACATACTTAGAATAAGGTATTTTGAAAGCCGGCCATAACTTTCGATTCCTGATTATATTCATAGAATGGATTATATATAACGGAAATCGAATAATCTCAAGTCTAGAAACTCCAACCATATACATTTCAAATTAAATCAATAAGATATCGATAAGTAAGAGCTGAAATCCTTCAATTTGTTATTTGCGTTTATGTTCACAATTCGATCCTCTCGCGTATATCCAAGCACTTTTTGCTTCTTTAAGCGGCATCTTCAGGTCGAGCACTCCCCAGTTGGCCACACATTCTTGGTTTTGGCCGCTTGGCAAGTCCTTGGACATGTTTAACACTCAATCTGTGCGGCAACTCCCAGGCCGAGGGCAGGCATATGCCACATTACCTCCGAAACAAATTAAATCGTTTCGCATTCGACTCGAAGCGAGCAAACAGCTCGGGCATAACCAGCAGCCGGAGTAACAGAAGCAGCAGCAGCAGCAGCAGCAGGAGTAGCAGCAGCAGCAGCAGGAGTAGCAGGAGCAACTGCAAAGGACTATTACTACACACACATGCTCGACGCTCGTTAGGGGCGGTCGATGGTTGGCCGATGTGCGTGGCATGTGGTGGGCGTTGCCACAGCTTTGAGCACACACTCACACA